AGCAATTTCCTAGCCCTTTACCTCAGTCTGTATCTGTACATCTGCCCTCCTCTCCAAACCTTTCCCAATAGTTAATGGCACCCAGAAGGGTTGCCCACTATCCCCGTCAATATTATACATTGATTGAACCGCTAGCAGAAACCATTTGCTCTCACTCCCACATTTTTGGGTTCAAATTCAATCATAGATCACATGTCATCAATTTGTTTGCTGATAATGTCATTCTTATTTTAACTAAACCTATTCTCTGTCTTCCATTCACCCATCACATTCTGCATGACTTTAGTCAAATATCATACTGCAAAGTCAATTTTTCAAGATCTCTAATATTGGACTCGGGGTCCACAAGGAAACTCGTAAACATTTGGTATCTCAGTTACCCTACTCCTGGGCTGACAACAGCATCCCCTATTTAGGTCTCATCTTAACTGCCTCTTCTAATAAATTAGTAGAATCTAACTATAATCTTCTTATCCAAACAATATGACAAGATACGCAACACTTTGCCAAAATTTAATTATTCTGGGCTAATTAGAAATGTTCAAAATGCAAATTATGCCAAAAATTCTTATATATATTTTGCACACTACGGCTTCTGGAACTTTTCTACATTAAAATCCATACTAAGAACCTTTCTTTGGAAAAGCAAAAGAGCAAGGTGTGCATACCACCATCTTATCAAACATAGATGGATAGGGGGTTTTGGATTACCAGATATTGAGAACTACTTTCATGCAGCACAAACTCAGACCTCTTCACTCCTGGTTTCAATCGCCTCCGGATATACTGTGGGTAGATACTGAAACCGCACTTACACAATCACACAACATCTACTGTTTCCTAAAAAACGTGCCAGGTGACTGATAGTAATCAATGGTGGTGATCTGTGAAGAATAGCAGAAATGCGCACTCACCAGAAAGCAAATAAGTATAGGCGGTGTATATCATAATCCATGGATCCTCAATCAAGAAGAAAAAGGTCTGGTCAGAATGGGTCAATCCTCCCTTAGGGATATATTCAGAATTTGCCCAGAAATGATGTACACCAGATCCAGGTAACCAGAGGTCTGCAATAGTTGGATGGATGGAAGGGGTTGCCTGTTTACAGGGGGTCTTCCTCCTCTTGGTATGGTGCCTGGAATCATGGTACAGGGCTCTGCAATAGGACCTCCTCTCAAGGAGTCAGGGAAAGACGCCCATAGTGTAGTATTGCAGAAAAATTGCTTTATTAAGAACAAAGTATCAGTTTGAAAACGTGTCATCCAGGTATAGAAGAAAAACTAACCCTAGGAAATTATACTGTATCATGTCTACCCACTCACCCCCTATTTTCTTTATTCTGAATCCACAACAAGTCTTCTTATATATATCTTTTCATATACTATGTATTTAAATGATCATTGGTGGCATATACCGGTAGTTACTTATCTTTCACTGCCATCCCATTGGTAGGATATACAGCATTTTCTCTAATAGCTATGCACCAATAGAACATATCATATTTCATCAACTAAGTATGTTTGTGCCTGTACATACTGTGAATGTTCAGTACGTTTGGTTTTCCACATTTGCTCTTCCCATTTTAATGGGTTTTTTTTGCCCTGACTATTATGCTTTTATATTTTTCACCTTTGAGAAGTTAACTTACATCTAACATTTCCAACAACTTCTATTTTCCCTGTCCAGAGTTGACTTAAGCAGTATGTCTGTAGGCTGACTTCTTTTAAATGTTCTATTTTTGTGAACTTTGCATGCTTGTTTGATGTTGACACAGTACTAACACTGCATATAATAAAGTTAAATGGAATGTCTTCATATTGACATTATCAAAAACATGTGCATTAATACTATTACCAAAGAAGCACATATGTGCAATCAAAAAATGCTAAAGTAGCCTGTTAGGAAACTGGAAAATGATGAATCTCAAGTTGTAAATTAATTTAAGAGTCTGACCTGGTGAAGTCCATTTTGTTTATTCCCCAAAATGCAAAACATAAAAGCAATTTTACAAAATATAAGTTAATATGTTAATTATTAAAATCTTCAACTCGTACTAGCTTTTTCAAAGAAACATATCAAGCTGTGCCTCTTAATCCAAATAAAATTCTAACTCAGTTATCATAAATAAGAAAAACTTAGAAGGTTGAAATTGCCCGAAGCAGGAAAGGAAGATGATGCTTCTGCATGTGTAATTTTTAATCCTCAGTAATTTTCTATTACTTGAACTTCTATGAGTATGAATAATTTTAATTGGTCAACTTTTATCTTTTTAACACATACACAGGAAAAACACCAGTGGCTTATTATAGGAACACTTTAAAATGGGAAATCACTTCAGGTTATTACACTTTTTTCATTGTTTAATACAACAGATTTAAGTCACCCTTTTAAATAAAAAAGTGACTTAAATATGTTAATCTTTTTTTTCTACAGCAAATCTGCCTAAGCACAGAGATCATGCTCATATACTGTAGGCCTTGGGGGGTATTTCCACATAAAATTGAGTTCAATGTTTTGCTGAAATGTTGCTACTTATAGTTAGTTATTTTATAATACATTTAAATGCTGGTATTTTTACCTCCCACTTCTAAAATAACATCTTTTAGATGTCAGGAATGTCACAGAACAGATCCTTGATCAAATAAAGATATGAGGCCATACAATTGTATGTCTAAAAAAAACAGTTTATTAACAGTATGGAGCATGATATTGTAATTTATCTTTTGAAATTAGTTAAGTGCATGTTCACTTAAGGGTCTATTTATCATCTTCTTCACCCAGGATTCACATAACTTTCACCCAAGGTTCACCCTTTTTTTTACATAGTATAATTAAAAAAATGTGTGAATATTGAGTGAAAGTTGTATAAATATAGTGTAAAACATTGATAAGTAGATCCCTTAATACATTGGAAATTATCCTCTGCAAAGCTCTTAAAACCGTCTATAGCAAAATCCCTAAAAAACGTACATGCAATCCAGAATAGCCATAAACTGTTTTTCAAATTTACAGTTTGTCATACCCAAGAATAATAAAACAAGAAATAACTGTTCTCAGTTACAGTATATCTATATCTCTTTTTAAGGCTAATTGCCTTGTGTAACGGAAGCGTAGGCAGGACAGAACACACAAAGAAGATGGGAAACACACAAAGCTTTATTGAACTATGAAAGACACTCAATCAGGACAGTTCATGGCACTTGTAGGGACACTCACGGTAAGCAGACTCACGGGGACTCAGTGGGACTTTGGCTGGGGGTCTGACCTCAGTACAGCTGCCACAAAGCTCTCTAGGAACAACAACAGCCTCCTGGGGACTCAATGGGACTGTGGCTGTGGGGCCTGACCTCAGCACAGCTCCAACACAGCTTTCTAGGGATGACAGCAGCGTCACAGGACTCAACAGGACTTTGGCTGTGTGGCCTGACCTCAGCGCAGCTCCCACACAGCTTTATAGGGACAACAATATGCTCACGAGGACTCAGCGGGACTTTGGCTGTGGGTCTCGACCTCAGTACAGCTCCCACACAGCTTTATAGGAACAACATCAGCCTCACAGGGACTCAACTGGACTTTGGCTGTAGGGCATGGCTTCAGCACAGCTCCCACACAGCTTTCTAGGGACAATAACATGCTCACGGGGACTCAGCGGGACTTTGGCTGTGGGGTCTGGTCTCAGCACAGCTCCCACACAGCTTTCTAGGGACAACAACCTGCTCACGGGGGCTCAGCGGGATTTTGGCTGTGGGGCCTGACCTCAGCACAGCTCCCACACAGCTTTATAGGGACAACATCATGCTCACGAGGCCTCAGCGGGACTTTGGCTGTGGGGCCTGGCCTCAGCACAGCTCCCACACAGCTTTCAAGGGACAACAGCAGCAGTCAGCATGCAGAGACACTCAGTAGCAGGCAGTGTGCAGGGACACTCACAGTGGTCAGCTTCCAGGGACACTCAGCAATGGACAGCGGCCCTCACAGTGGCCAGCAGCGATCAGTAGGCAGGGGTCCTCACAGTGGCCAGTTTTTCAGGGACAGCAGCGATTAGCAGGCAGGGGCCCTCACAGCGGCCAGCTTTTCAGGGACAGCAGCAATTAGGAGGCAGGGGCCCTCACAGCGGCCAGTTTTCCAGGGACAGAAGTGATTAGTAGGCAGGGGCCCTCACAGCGGCCAGTTTTCCAGGGACAGCAGCGATTAGCAGGCAGGGGCCCTCACAGCGGCCAGCAGTGATCAGTAGACAGAGACATCTCAGCGGTCTGCCGCTGGGGTCTCCTGGTTGGGGGTCACAGCTCCTCCACCTAGATTGCTGGATGAGCTGTGATCCTCACCGCAGGGGTCCTCTCCCCCATCCTGCACAGCCTGGCTTCAGAGGCTGTGTGCAGGATGAGAGGACGCGGCAAGGGGGGAGGAAGGGGGAGGGTGAAGAGATGGCAGGGCACACCGTGACACCTTGCTTCATCTTATATAGTCAGCTAGAAAAGCTTACTAAGGCGTTAACTGTTATGAATAATAATATTAATGCTATAAATTCATTATATCTAAACAAAAATACATATATTTCAAAAGAAACAATATGATTGAATATATAAAATTATTATATTTTCAGTATTCTATGCCATTATTTTACATATTGCCCATACTTTGCTTGATATGGGAAAATATAGAAGCTTTATGAAGGCAGTCTTGGTTTAAAATTTTAAAATAATTAATGACAAGTTCACATCTTAATGACATCTATTTAAATTCATATATTCAATAAAGACATCTACAAAACATCCAGAAGGATATCCCTATAGTGTGTTTACATGTACTCTTTTGTACTTTATATGGCATCCTTCAGTTTTTTCTGATGATCAAAGGCTATTGATGTAATGATAGCTGCAAGCAATACATACATTTAGGTCTCAAACAGCATTATTCGGCATAATTTACATGTATCTCACATCTTATCATGCTGTAATGTGTACAGAAGTCTTCTATGCTTTTAGAAGACAAAGCAGCCACTGCTTATGATAAGTTCATTAATTTAATACCTACCAGAGAATAAACCATTTAAGTCAGGTATTAAACAACAGTAGAAAAAACAAACACCAAATTAAAGTATCCATAGATACTGATTAGAATTCACCTGTACAGGTCTTACTTCACAGAAGTAAATGCTAATTACATTCTATTGATTATTTGCTCTCTGTAATATTTATTCAATAATACTATTAGTTAAATACAAAGTGTAACAGGCTTATTTTAAAGAATGCAAACAGAAAAGTACCATACCCCTTTTATAATCCATCCACCAAACTCATTAACTTGAGTTCTATCTGATTTCTCTTGGCTACTAAATGTGTACCTTGCTCCATGGATAAATGAAAAAGTACTTGAATGTCTACATACTATAATGGAAAGAGGCACACACAGGAAGTCTGGGGGACAAGTTGTGTGTTTAATTATTTTACTATCTTGTTTCCCACCATATTTAGTTTTATACTTTTATTACATGAAATATGTATTTCAACTTCAGGTTCAGGTGTAATGGCCACTTTAAACAAGGTCTTCAGCTTCTCAAGATTGCTAAAATACTGTACAGGATGCCAGGGTTCTGGAAGAGAGGGGAGTTCCAGGGTAATTCACTTGGAAAAGAGAAGATTGGTTGGCAGTTCTCTCAGGACTGGTAAGTCCTTATTTGGGATCCAATATTCAAAGGCTCTGAGAGACTTTGGATGGGTAAACCATAAATACAAGACTTTGGTCCTGAAAGGGATAACTTGCCTGCAAGGGATGCTTAAAAAGGGAACATGACGCAGTCAGCGGGTGTCTGTGAGGTGTTGGGTGGAGCAGCACACACACTTGTGAGAGAAAGGTGTGCTGCCTGGTGATGAGACCCTGCTAATGGGGTGGTGACCTTGTTGGGACCCCTGAGGCAGACAGGAACATAACCCTGTTAAGGGGCAAAACTTTGATATGTAAGAGGAATGCAAACTGTTTTATATATTTTTATGCTGCAAGCAAGCTGCTGTTTTGTTTTCCTTTTAAAGTGGTGTTCCACTCACCCTGTCAAAAAATAAAAGTCAGCAGCTAAAAAAACTGTAGCTGCTGACTTTCAAAAAACAGCCACTTACCTGTCCCTCGGTGTGTCCCCGCAGCCCATTTCACCGGCTGTCCTGTATTCCAGGAGGCCGGCATCTTCAGTGTTGGCACCCGGCTGTGACAGCTTGCGGGTTCACAGCACGGTACCCACTGTGCATGCACAAGTAGCGCTGCGCTTCATGAATGGTCCTGTAGTCTTCTGGGATCAAAAGACTACAGGAAGGGAGGACACCTTCTGCTTCTGATCGCCTAGGCAATCGGACCGGAAGTGGGAACAGGTAACTGTCAAATTTGGGTACCTGCTCCCCCCGCCCCCCAAAGGTGCCAATCCTTAATGGGAAGCGGGGGAGCATTCCTTAAAGTGGAACTTCCCCTTTTTGGTGGAGCTCCGCTTTAAAAAAGGGATTGCTTTGCTTTTACCAATGTGGCTGACTGGTGATCCCAGACTTCCCAATATTACAATAACCTAAAGAATATGATGCTAATTGTGAAAGAGACAGGACAGAAGAGTGGTCCAATAATTGGGCAAAGATGTATTGGAAATTATGATAACAATGAGGCAAACCCTTAAGCATCAAAGTGGTGACCTGAACTGGGAGGTCACAACACTCCAACAAACATTGCTGAGCACTTGATGTGACCAATTTGGTAACCTATTACCAAATTGTGTAGATTTAAACCACAAAAATACAGGGGAGAAATAAATCAAGTAGAATTATTACATTTTGAAAAGAATGTTGCCACCTTAAATTGCTACAGCATGAATGCATGAGTCCTTAGATATTCATAAACAATAGCTTTTTCTAAACTTATAAAGACAATAATTTCTTGGTACTATAATTAAAGTATTACTAAAGTAAAAAAAAAAAATTAAAATAATAAACATGTTATACTCACCTGCTGTGTGCAATGGTATTGACCCCATGAAGTGGCCACAATCCTCCTCTTCTCAGGTCCCCCGGTGGCACTCCTGGTTCCTCCTCTTCTTTGTGTGTCCTCATAGCAAGCCATATGCTATTGAGGCACACAATATCTGCGTGCTCCTGAGCTAGGCGTCTATGGAGCAGCACTCCATAGACTTACAGAGCAGGACATAACCCTGCCCCCCACTTCCTCCCCACTGCATTGTATTGATAGCAACAGGAGCCAATGGCTCCTGCAGCTGCTCGAGTTCTGTGTAAAGAGGAAGAGAGGGGAGAAGCCGTGCACAGTGATGGATCTATTCTGCTCTCTCTCCCTTCACATAGGAAAGGGGGGGGGGGTAAATAGAAAACATGTTTCATCTTAATGCAAGGAATGCATTAGGGTAAAAACGTTTTTTTCACTTTAGTAGCACTTTAAGGCCAAGTTCAATATGCAAAGATAAGCACACCCAAAGCAATTACCAGTATTATGAAGAAAGACAGAGTGTTTATAGGATCTAGGCGAAGGAATTTATTAAATAAGTTTGTCCCTCATTGGAAATGACCATGAAAATGAGTATGTGCATCCCGAGAGTACACAGGAACAAACAAGAACAACTCATGAGAGCTATGGGGGATGAGCCAGACTACTAAAGTGCTTGTGCCTGTGTACAACATAAAATGAGCATACACACACATTTAGGAAATGTAAGGACAACATAGAGAAATAAAGCAATTGATTTACTAAAGGCAAATAGGTTATTCACTTTTCAAGAGAATTTTCCCCAGAGATTAATGAATAAAGTGATTCTCTACTAACATCCATCAAACAATCATGTGCAAGCAAAATACTGTTTTTTTACATTTTCCTCCATATGATTGGGTATGCTTTACAAAGTGAAATTTTACCACATTCACAAAACTCTAAGGGGAACTAGGTAAAATATTAAAATTTAGATAGATAGTAGGGGCGTGGCATGACCGTCAACCAAGATGGCTGCTGAACCAAAGAGCTCCTGCACATTGGGGATTATAATTTGCTTTATCGGGAGTTGCTTCACACATATAACCATGGGGAAGATTGGGCAAAGTGTTTCTGCCTCCAGGACATTGCAGGAGCTGGGTACTCAACTAAGCCAAAACATCCCTGAGCTCTTTCACACACAGACTTCGGAAGGCCGCTACCCAGGCCTCAACACTATGCTCTCCTGATAGTGACTCCGATACCCCAGTGAGAACCGGAGATGCAACTTTCACTCACCCAACTCACTGTTTAAGTCCGTCAGATCAACAGATAGTGGCCTAAGACATTAAAGCCACCCTAACTAACTAAAAACCCTTCAGAAACCCCTATTGAGATGGAAAGAGCCCACCGTGCTCTACACCCTTGGCTCCAAGGATCTGAAGCCCCAAAAATATGCTATATGTTGCCTTGTGGACTTTACACTGAAAGAGGAAATAATTAGGAAAGCCAGAGAACTAGGCCACATTTTGTTCAATGACACTGAGGTTAAACTTTTTCAAGACCTTTCTCCACTCACTTTACAAAATCCTTTCAACCATTGTTGGAGATGCTAAGGACACGAGCCATTGCAAATAGATGGAAAATTCAATTTTGCCTGTCCAACACCTCTAGAGGCTGCACTGCTCTCCTGCAGACCTCGAAAGACCTTCAAGCCTTCTGTGATCAACTTAATCTTCCACCTACAGAGCTTCTGGAATGGTTTTCTATTTCCCAGTGGAACCGTGGAAGTCGGTAGCTTGCAACTTGTCACCTAAAGCACAGAGGCAACACCAGTGAA